CAGTTGTGCAGGTGTCTGTTTTCTCATTCAGCTTGTGTGTGTGTCTTATGTGCTTTTTCCCTTCTAGGTATGTGCATTATACATGTCTCAAGCCTCAGGCCAGGCTTGGTGTCAGTGTTTAAACTGTGTTAAGAAGGAAGTGCTCTTGGAATTGAGCTGATTTTTATAAAACAAACAAACAAAAAAGGTAAACCCCCCCAAATTTCTCTTCTAAAAGAGATGGCTTTTGGGCCATGATGTCTCCTACAGGAGTGTGCATCCTCCTGCATTCAGGCTGCTGCCTCCAATAGATGATGACCAAAAGTTGCCGTTTCTGACAACTGTGACCGGTGTGGATCACTTTGGGATACTCTGGAGCCAGGTCCTCGCCGCCCCAGCGGTACAGCTGGTGTTTTCCGCCCATCTGCGTCCCTCCAAGAGACTGCAGTTTTTATCCCTATAGCACACGGAAGCCCTGCAGGCAGCAGGCAGCCAGCCCTGGGTGTGCTCTGCCCAGAGAGGGAATCCTTCCTTCCCTCTGGCTGCTTCCTGGGCACCTCTCACCAGCACCTAAGGATGCTTGGGGCCATCTCCTGTGTGCGCAGTGGGGAGATGCTGTGGCTCGCTACCTGCACAGGCATAACTGTGAAGGAATCTTACACTCTTCTGTGCCTGTTTCTTTGATTCAGCATTATTGTGTCTTGGGGAAGGGGGTGGGGGTGAATGCCCTTCCCTCACCCTCCTTTATCACTGTGTAATACTTTTTCTACACACACTGTATAGTAAGAAGGTTTTTGCCAAGGTTTTCTAATTAATAGACACTAACCAGCATTTCTTTCTTTTTTTTCTCTTCTTTGCACATGTAACTTTAACTGCAATGGTACATGGTCTTTCTGTTCTTTTCTAATCGTGGACTTAAGTAAGCAAATTCCTGGTGTCTGTGACATTAATGCACTGTGGGTCTAGCCTTGTAAATTGTTCTGTTCCAAGCTGGGTTCTCTTAAGTTATAGCTGGATGGGGTTTTGTTGTTTTTTAAACTGAAACATAAAACCGTTTTACACTTTGCATATTTTGTACAGTAAAATTCTGGAAATAAACTGAAACCAGATTTGATTGTCCTAGTCCTTTCTCTTATCCTTTCAGACAAAAAACTCTTCTGGTGTTCAAGCATTCCTTAGCTGTGGCTAGGAGGGGCCCTGCAAACATGTGGTTTAGCCTTTTTGAGGCTGCCTTTTTGTCACCCTCGTCCTAGGCCTTTCTGATCTGCTGTGCCACAGTACAATGCAAACTCATTTATCACTCCTGAAGGAAGAATGGTAGGTGACTGCTTTGAACACCTGAAATCTCAAATGATGGGGAGCAAATGCAGCTGGGAAGGGGGGGGGGCATGATTAGAGTGGGAACAGGTTTTTCTGGCTCCTGCGTTCTCATAGTTTGCACACAAATTATGAAGTGCAGAATTCACTGCTGAGTTCCTTATTTGGCTGTGGTGAGAAGGAGGAGTGGCAAAAGGCAGAAAAGCCAGTGCTCCTTGTTGGTGTGGATGCAAGCCTGTGCTCTTCTAAAAAAAAGGTGTAGGGATCTCACCTCAGTAGTATCTCTGGGTGCAGCTTTCCCCACCATCAGTTTCCATCCCCTGCATGCCAAGAGCTGGGAAACACCAAACAACTGTGCACAAGGAAGTCTGGGAGCAGCTTTCTTACCTAGACATTCTTTGGTACCCTCTCTTCAGGTAAGCCTCCTTTAAGGTGGAGTACTTTGCCTCACAGCTGTGCCCTGCCCAGCAGTTCTCAGTGTCTTCAGCTACTGGAAAAATCCACAGGATGCTGCTGCACAGTGACAAAGAGCGCAGCAGTGGTGTAGATAAGCAGCACACACAAACACACTTGTGGAGGGAAACAGCCACATTCTCTGCTTGGGGGGAGATGAATATATTTGGGCTACAGAGAGCTGAACTGAGGCCCGGGAGGAAGCAGGAAGGGTGGGATGGGGCTGTATTCTGTTCTGCCTCCTGCCCTCCCTTGATCTCTGCTTTTGATCTGTCCCCCTCATCCTGCTGATGCTTTGGCAGTGCCCAGCCCTGGATTGTTTGCAGGGCAGCTCCCGGAGATGGGCAGGGAAAGGAAATGGCATTGCTGCTGCCCTGCAGAGCCTGCATTGGGGGTGCAGCCATTGCCAGTCCCCACCTGCCCCTCAGAGGAAGACCTGACTTGCTGGACTGGAGCTCTGTAGGAAAAGCCTCTGTGGGAGTCGACCAGAGGTGTGTCATGGGAAGGTGTAAGCAGCAGGAATTTGGCATAAACAAGGTACTGCACTCGTCAGCCTCATCCAAGCCTCTTAGCTGTGTCTTTACATGCGAGTTCCGTGTTCTGTTTCATTTGTGGGTTAGTGCTAATACCAAATCAACACGTGACTGCTGCCATTCATGGCACTTTCTCTCCTGCTTTGGGTTGTGGAACCTGGTGGAAGGAACAGGCTTTGCTAGAGGCACTAGTTCCCTTGGCTTTCACCCAGAGCTCAGCTATCTGAATCATAAGGGGCTGTGGTATGTAGCTCAGCAGAAATTAAAGCTGGAGGAGCTGATCTGGTTTGGCCAAGTCTTTCACTGAAGTTGCAAGGGCCTTTGAGGTGTGATGGAGCCTGAGGTGCAACAGCAGGTTAAGTATTACAGACACAAACCTCTGACAGAAAGAGGAGGGAGGCTTTTACTGGGAAAACACCACCATTGGAGGGACCTGTTATCTTGAACCAGAGGTAAGTACTTTATCCTGAGGGGCATACTGGACTTGAGGAAGAGATGCCTTTCCTTCAGTGCCCTTCCTGACTCTATGGGAATAAGACACTGACTGCCCTGAGACAGCACAGCAACAACTGGTGGTGTAGGGTATTTGGTGGCTGAACTGTGGCTTAATTCCTAAGAAGATCGACTGGCCCCCACAGGTGATGGAACTGGGCCTAACAACCATGGATGATCAGAGAACATCAGCTTTGGGGAATGAAATGGGGATCTGTGGGGCAAAGGGACCACATGCAGTCAGAGAATAACAAATAGTTTAAGAAAGGGATTTGTCACCTTCAGCAACTAGCTCCATAGCCTTGCTTGAAGCACTAGCAACACCTCACCATACAATTCTGTTAGCTAAATTAATGGTTGATGAGACATCTGGCTGCGGAGGACAGCAGGGCTTCAAAACCCGAAACGTCTTCTTCCTGTGCAATGAATTAGTTCCTCTATCTCAGCCCCAGGTCTGGACTCCTAGGAAGTACAGTTGGAATTGACCTCAAGGGCTTCCAAGGGGCCCTGGAGCTCAGGGCAAGTGGGGTGGGTACAAGGGGAAGGGGATCTCTTAGCCGGACGTGGTGTCTCACAACAGCAAGCAGGAAGGGAAGGTGTTTTGGGAGTTGGCCAAGCAGAGTGCTTTGATTTGTCTTTCAACACCATTCCTCAGTTTGTGTTGGACTGGGAAGGTGATGGGTTTAGGTTACAGTCCTTTCCGGTACTGACAGATAATCCACTGGGGCGAGGGTATGCGTTGCCTTTTCACGTGTGCATCCATGCACTGCTGGATCAGGAGGTGCTGAGAGAAAAGAGAGCACTGAGTACGTGTCTGCAGAAGTGAGTAGGGGTGGTGTAGTGGGGTGATTGCATATGCATAAATCACTGTCTAGGAACAAGGCTACCCGAGTTGCTTTGAAATGCTGTAATAAGTTTTACAGCCCTGCTGTGGGCATATGTGCTAGTTTATGTTGATGTGTTGCTAATAAAATGGGGCATACGTAGTAGTCTGTGTTCAGATTGGTGCCCACTGCAAAACTGCCAGCCTCCTCCAAAGCCCAGAGCTGGTCTTCCCTTCCTCCACAATCTGGGGACCTGAGTGGAGTGAAGGCTTCTGTCCAGGGCCTGGGGCTTACTGTGGTTCCAGTTAAGTCAGTGCAAATAACCTGGGGACATAAGAGCCTGCAAGCAGCCCAACTGCTGGTTTTTGGCCTCCTGGAGCCCCTGAGTCCTGCCCACTGGAGCATGAGAACTGTTGTTTGCCGGAGGGACCACAGCCAAGGCAAAAGGAACAATCAGTCTTTGGGCTCTGTGTGGGCAGCACTAAATACAATTTAGAAGAGGAAGAGGGGAGATAGCTTTTACCTTGTGGCTGTGCATTTGGGACAGCTCAGTGCATCCACCTTGCTTATGTATCAAAATACAGAGCAAGCATCAAAACCTCAAGAGAGATAGTAAGACAAAGAAGAGGCAATGTGAAGTCAGTGGAAGAGACCTTGGAGATCAGGGTGTGGGTTTTCCCTCCAGCATCCTTAGAAACATGAAGGTACAGAGATTTAAAAAAAATAGAGACACCATGAATTGCTCTAGGCATGAAGCTACTCTGTAAATTGAAATATTTTAAGTCTCTTCCAAAGGCAAAAATCAAGATTCCAAATGGTTAAACATCTACAGTCTTGATTGTCTTTCTTTTTCTCTTTTTTTTTGCTTCCTTATTTGAAAAGGTAGGCCAAATGAAAAGTGAATGCATGGCGAGGAGGGAGTTCTTGACAAAACACATTTGATTCAGCCTCTTTGAAAGTTTTAAGAGACATTCAGAACATTATAGCTCTTTGGACCTCTCTTCAGCAAGTCAGATGTTGTGGGCATGCTTTAAAAGAGGGAACAAGAAAGAGCTGATTATATCTGGGCCACAGATGTGAAACAGATCTGCAAACCTTTTAGCTTCTATTTTGTAAAAGCTCATTCTTGAGTACTCATAATACCAGATCATACAGTTGATTATAATTTTGCTTTGTAAGTGGTTGTGAGAAACTGGTTTAGTAATTCAGTAACTAGACTGTGGGAAGCTGTGCAAATTCCTTCAGCAATTGAATTTTGTGGGGACTAAAATGTTCCTCAAACATTTAGTTACTTTTGTTTTTCAATAACCTCTCTCTTTGTCACTTGAAGGAGCAGGGCTTGGATGTGTTGGAGTGAATGTTAAAGCAAAAATCTAACACCAGGCAAATTTCAGGGCTGCTCTCTGGTCAAACATGACTTTATTTTTACCTGCATTACTGAGGGAAGGACCTGATTCAAGCTGGGCTTCTTCCAAATCCAAAAGCAGAAGATGAGGTTGCCCATGGCTGTTTAAGTCATTTACCACCCATGACTGAAGGAGAACTCACTCAGGACAACCACTGGTCGTGTCTCCAGCAGGGAGTTGGCTTTCTGGCTGCTGTTAAAGTATGGGATACCCTCTCCAGCAAACTCAGCTCATTTAACCCTCAAGGCTTATTTCTTGTATATGAAGCCACGACACTTGTCTTCTGTTCAGATAGTGAGCAGAAGTGGCGTCATTGCTGGTGTCACTGGGTGTTACTTGTCTCTCTCCATGATGGCAGCAGTCAGGGCTTAGTTGCAGGGTGATGGTTCCTCATCTGGATTTGGGGACAATGGGCAAAGATGCCCACCAAAAAAAAAATTCTGGTTTTAACTCAGTGCCCAGGCTGGTGAAATGGCTTCTCCCTGAGCATGTGTCACCTGTTCCCCTCAAAATGAAAGCCAGTGACAGCCTTGTCCAGCTGTCTTCCCCCTCAGAAAGGAAATGTTGTCCCTCCCAGTTGTTGTCCCTGCCAGTTCCTGGCAGTGGTGTGGGGGAGGCTGCTGTCTCCTTGGGCTGGGATGAGCACAAGCAGTAGGGGCAGAGAAGGGCTCTGTCCTTAAGTGATCCTCAGTCCCATATGCTGTGGGGGTGTGTTGAGGAAAAGAGGAAGACAGGGTAAATAGAAATGGAGAGAAAATAAAGTAGGGGAGCCAGTGAGGATCTGAAGAGAGAAAGTCAAGAGGGATGAAGAGAAGGTGAAAAGGCTAGTTTTTTTCTTGTTTTCCATAGTATTAGGGACAATGCCCTTTGACAGGGGCTTGGCAAGAGAAAGCATGAGGAGGGAGTGAGGCACCGGAAGGATCTTTGCTTCCATCCCTGTTTGTAATCTGATTCCAGAAATGGGTCTTCAAGCTGCAAGGAAGCTCTGTAGCTTTTTTTTTTTTTTTCCTTTAAATAGTTTAGCACCTTTTAAACCTGGCAGAGAGTGTTCAGGGAGCTGGGCTGAGAGGGCTGGCTCTGCACTGGACCTTCCTCATGGTCTGCGTCATCATTAGAGAGCATCTTCTGCCAAACAAGTGTGAGAACCATCCCACGGCTGTCCCCCAGGGGTACTGACCATCAAAGGGCTGCTTTCCTAGATGCCAGTGGTACAAGGGAGTGGCAAAAAGGCAGGGGATGCTGCAGTGCAGTGGGTTGACACACACAGTCTTGGATCTCGGGTAGGACACAGTCCTGCTGGTGCAGTCTCATTACTGAGATCAATTATTCTGCCTGCTGTGCTCTGCTGCTTCCAGTTTCTAGCAGAGGGTCTTGCACTGCATGGCATAGACGTACCTGGGGTGTAAAAGTAGCCAGGAGGCAAGGTACTTTGCCTTGGAGGGCCTTGGTGCTTGTTGCCTGTTTATCTGCTCCTCCTCTTCAGACCCCCAAGTCCCGGCATTGGTGTGCAACTGGCTGTGTGTGGGACTTCCTCAAAGCCAAAGCTTTGCTGAAGTGGAGATGAATCCATACGCGATCTTTTCACAGGACTGCAAGTCAGTGGCAGCTGGGAAGTCATATTTTCCTGTCTAATGAATTATTTTCCTGGGAATGAAAGACGATGGTTTTTGTTTGGTCTCTGTAATGAATCAATCATTTCTTTAGGTGTGATGTGCAGACAGACATGAAGAAGCAGCCAGTGTCCTCAGCTCCACGTTCATGTTGGTGCCTGGCTGAGCAGCTTCGTTTTGGGATGGGAAGCAGCCAAGATCTCTGGTTTCACTATGTGGGGAGAGATGGGAGCCTCAAAACTCCTCAGAAACATCACAAAAACCGCTGACCCTGAAACCATGGAGTAATCTGCTGTTTCCAAAGTTCCTCTGTTGTCCCCTCCTTCTGGATCCGTTTTCTAAATGTCTGACATAAGCTCAGAGCAGTTTTGGGTTCACAGAGCCTCTACATCAGTGACCTTGGGCCCACTGCAGAAACTTTCTCCTCCATGCTGCAGTATGATAGCTGCAGAATGTGGCTCCTGATGGGTTTCCATCTGTCTTGGTTGTTGCCCATGAGCAGCACAGGGTGACCTGTGGTACAGCACACCAAACACATCCCTTGGCTGTGGCCTCTGGCCCCGTGTCTGGTGACTGACAGGAGGTGGTGGTGTATGATTTGGTGTTCTTGCCATGTATCACTTGTGAAGGGGGGTCCTTACTGTCACTTGGGGGCTGGTAAGACTAGGTTTTGGGGTATTTTGGGTACTTACTTGGCAGTGGTGGATTAATGGTTGGACTCAATGATCTTAGGGGTCTTTTCCAACAAAAATGATTGAATGATTCTATGAAGTAACTGATCAGCTTGAAGCACTCACAGTTGGATGAGGGCAAAATCCAATTACTTGTCTTTATGTGTATTAAGACTCATTTAATATGTCTAATTAACATGCTGGAGAAAAAGAACTATTTTTGAAGAGAGGAACAGTCTTAACAGACATGCTTGCAGAAACAGTGCTGCCCATGTACACAATTTCTTTTTTTTTTTTTTTAAATACAGGGGTTTTTGCAGGTTCCTCATCCAAATCAACCTTTTGCTTCTCAGTGTATTGTGGGGCTGACTTAGCTCCTCAGGGCCACCACTGCCTTTAAAATGCCAGTTGTACCTAGTTTTGGCAGAGGAGCCCAGGAGCACCTGTGCCTGGAGTCCTGGGTGTCCTCATACCACTGTTTTACTCATCCCTGCAAGGAAGTCACTCAGTTTTAAGCTGCCATCTCCTTCACAAGGAGTATTGCCTCATTCAGCAGTTTGGTCGCTAGGATCTTGGGGCAGACGAAGTGTTACAGGTAAATGGGTTTGCTGCCCACCCATCCTCATTGCTGGAATTCTTCCTCTGCTGCAACATCTTCTTAATTTTTCATGTGTTTATCCTCAAAGCTGACAATAAACAGTTCCTATTTGTAGGCAAAGAGAATGATGAAAACTGTACTGGGGGGATGAGGCAAGAAAGAAAGGGCAGCCCCATCAGGGACCTCACTGGCACCACAAAGGAGTGGCAACTGTATCATTAGCCCTTTCATAACTCAAGGGCAACTGTCCATAAAACACTGGCACCAGTCCACCAGCCCCAGTGTGAGTTCAACTTCTACATTATTTATTCTATTTCCCCCCCCAGAGCTCTGTTGCTTTGAAATGTGTAAGTGCCTGTGAAACACCTGTGCACTTGAACATGGCCACAGCATCATTTGCAGGGTCTGCCTGCTCTGCCTGGGTAAGCTGTGCCTCTCAGTGCATCTGGAGAAGGGCACATCAGAACAGACAGGTATCCACAGCAGGAGGGGAGCTACATGGAAAGTACTCAGGTAATTGAGATGTCCTGAGACTGTGCCAGTTAGGAAAGGCAGTAGAGCAGCTCATCATTTATTCTGTGTGTTTGGAATGACTGATATGGAGCTGCAGGGCCTGTGCAGGCTGTTGCCTTATTTAGGGTGAAATTGGGCATGTTTACTCCTGGGAATAGCCCCAAGGTAAAGATAAGCATGTATTTTTTTCAGGTGAGTAGTTATCCCTTAATTGAAGACTGGGAGACCACTAGATGGCCAGTTTTGCCTCTTGCTCTTTGCCAGTGTGCATGGAGGAGACCTGGAGTCCTGCCTGCTCCTTCTCTCTTTGAGCCAGGGTTCTCCAGCAAACCTCTTGAGGAAAGAGCTGAAAGGAAAGAGTAGGAGGAGAGTGCTGGGCACCCTGTTGGCCAGGTGAGAAGCAGGTGTGAGTGAAAAGGAGGAGGGGACCTCCATGCTGAAACAAGCACTCTGCATTTCAAGGCTTTTGAAAGTTGTTCATCACCCCAGAGCAACCAATGGTCTCCCCAGATGGTCTCCCCAGACAAAGTTGTTTCATCTTCTGGGCAGTGCTTATGTATCATAAGAAAGCAAGAAAGAGTGAGAAGTTGACCTGGGGGCTTTGCTGCCTTGTCTATTCTTCTAATAGGCTGCATCTTAAAGGCACATATTGAATGTTTGATATTCAATGAGGAGCTAACTTGGCCTACAGTCATATACCATATTAGCACAGTATTCATTCATATGCATGGAGGTATATCGATATCCAGCCATGTGTTGTTCACACTGGCACTTTGTACCAAGGGAAATGGCATGCATAGGAATATATGTATGTATACATGTGTATATATATATATATATGTATATATATAAAGTATTATATATATATATAAAATAATTTAGCTTTTTTATACCAGTAGTTTCAAATTTCTATTTCAGCTAATGTAGAGAGAGAGTCAAAGAGACTGATCAACGGGCAGCAAAAAAAAAAAATCTATAAAATCTTGTTTTGCGGTTCATCTGATAAAGGAAATATGTATTGTGTGAACCTTGTTTCTCATCAGGCTGATTCACACTTGTGTAATGAGCTCTGATTCTCCTGTCCCTCACACTGTTATTTCTCCTAATATCACTTACCTCTGATGTAAGCCAGTAAAAGAATGGTCAGGATAATGTTTTCCATCTGTAGCAAGAAAGGAGATGCATACCCTACCTATGCTAAGAAATCTGAACAACTGGAGAACATCCTTATAAATGTATTTATAGAGATAAAACCATCTCCAAACTCTCTGTTCATTGTACTATTGTCAAACCTAATAAGCTAAGATAATTGAAATCTGCTGGCATGGGAAAGCAGGGAGACTTAATGCTGCCACAGTGACCTGCGTGTGGATGGTGCTGCACTCACCAGGACTGTGTTGCAGACCCTTTGCTTTGTGAGTGATTCCCTTGACTGCAAACTGGCACCCTGAGCTCCTGCAGTCAAAAGAGGCTTCTGACAGGCTACTATGGGACATCTGAGTCTCTAAGCAGGGAGTAACCGTGCATCTAAATACTTAAAAGCCAGACAACTTGAATCCATTCGCTGCTCACTGCCCAACGTACCTCGTCCAATATCTAATATGGTTGTATGTGTGTGTTCCCTCCCAACATCTTGGTCACGGGAATAGATGCTACGTGGGCTTTGAGGGAAGAGTCAGCTAAAGCTGGAAGGTCATGGGGAATAGGAGAGCTTCAGGGTGGACCCCTACGGATGTTTTCATTGGCTTAGTTCAGTGCCATGGTCTTCAAATGCAAGAGTTTGGACTCAGATTGGGCTCAGACCTGGATCAGCATTTCCAGCAGTTCAGGAACTTGCCAGCTTTTATGCCTCATATCAGACCACCTGCACTTCCCCTAGCCATGGCCCGAGCTTTCAAAGAAAAGAGGTTCAGACAGGGGGCATGGTGCTTGGTTTTGCATTGCACTGTCAAACAAGAATATCCTGTTGTTATGTGGAATCACTGAAAACTTTAATAGCATCCCTAAAACCTTCCTCCCCTCCCAAAGCATTTTGCTGCTCCTAGCATTTTAATGAGTAGCTAGGGACTCCCACAGCAGGACTTGTGGATTGAGTGGTCTTGGCAGAGTATCTGCAAAGGGCATTGTGTTTAATAAAAGGACTAAACTTTACAGTGGCCTTCTCAATGTCTTGAAGGGAGATTTGGTCTTTGGATGTTAAGTGCTGTGCTGATGAACATGGAAAACACAAACTGGCTCCCTGCGTCCCTCTGGCAGCAAGCAGGCAGGCACTTTTCTCCTGCCCTGGGACACTGGGGGCAGATTCCCTGCAGATTCCTATTGTCCTTACTAAGGAGGCATGATTTGCAGCGGTGCTGGGTGCCTGCAGGCGCTGCCCACCACAGGGGCAGTCCTGGTGGCTCAGCACCGCTGAGAATCAGGCCAGGGGGTCCCGGCAAGGGCAGGGGCAGGGGGAGCAGGGCAGGGGGCAAAGAGGAGCAGCAGTGCTTGCTGACGCTCAAACACAGGCCTTCCAATGGAGGGACCTGCCGCAGGGGGAGGGCTCTCGGGCCCCACAAGTCAAACTGCACAAAGTCACAGTTAGTCATCATCATCGTCGTCGTCATCGTCGTCGTCGTCGTCATCATCGTCGTCATCGTCGTCATCGTCATCGTCGTCATCATCATCGTCATCGTCATCATCATCTTCGGTATTTATCTTCCCAGAAAGCACATCCTCTATCCAGTCTTCCAGCTCCTCAGCTGTGGGCAGGTCATCATCATCTCTGATGTCCATCCAGATGCTGTCAGCCTGCAGGGACAGGTGATGGGGGATTAGCTGCCCTCAGAGACACAGGCAAGAGATGGGGTTCACTACTAGTGTGGGAGTAAGGACTGGACCATGGGTGGGACACAGGGCTGATGGCAGCATTAGCTTCCTCTCTGCACAGCGTGTGGGCAGACTCAACCAGGGCATCTCTCAGCCCATTCACTGGGATTACCACTTCTCCCTGTGGTGTTCTTGTATCTGGCCAGGGCCAGTGGGACTTGTCAGTGGGTTTACATGGGTGTGCAGTACTGTGTGCCCTGGGTGAGATGTGTGACTGCTGCCTGTTCCTCTCCTGCACTGCCTATACCTGTGAGCAAGAGCATTGTCCACCCAGTGTGTTGTCCTCACTCTGCCTGAGGAGTTCTGTAGACTCCAAGTTTTCATAAAGAGATCTCAGAGACCAACTATGCCAGTTCCCCCTGTACTGCCCCAGTTCATAGGACATCACAGCATTTCCCTCTTTCCATCCTGAGCCCTTTGAGCTTTTACACCCCTCTGTCATCACTCCTTCTCCCCAGACTTTTACCATCACCTTTGGTTCAGGACCATGTTCTGGGCTCTCCACTTGTGATAGTGGTTCCTCCTCTTGGAAGACCCTTCCCTCAGATCATCTCAGCTATGCTACAGTTGAAGAATGGTGAAAACCACCAATGTCCTGGTGCCCCCTGCTCTTTCCCTCCAGCTGTCTGCATTACTTCTATAAACTGGAGGGGATGAGGGAATTCAGTAAGAAGATGATGACTAAATTATGACTGTTACCCAGGGACAGCAAGTGTAGCTTGAATGGTCTCTGAGGTCTGGAAATCAAGGTTTTCCTCTCTGCTTTGCCGTAGGTTTCTTGGGTAAATGCCTGGGTAAGCCTCTTTCCCTTAACTGTCTCCCCTCTATAAAACAGGATCAGCATCCTGTTTTGCAGAGGTGCTGTGAGGTTATCTCATTCAGTGCTTGATGTTGTAGAAGCAAGTGATTGTCATATCTCAGAAGAAAGCTACCAGCTTTTGAAAATGCATCCAACTTCTTTCCCTGTCTGTGGTACCTAATTCTCTTTGGTTTATGGCTTGCTAAAACTCTGGACCAATTTCTGCTCAAGGAAAGCTGTTTGTCCTATACAATATTTTCCTCCTAAACTACCAAAACTGAAATAAAAAAGTGTAATGTGGAGGCGTGCAGCTCTTGCTTCACACAAATTATCTTGTCCTTAACCTCAGCAATATTTGTGTGGGAAAAAGTGACACATTCAAATAATGGAAACAGGAGTGGCCCCATTTTACCTAGAGAAGATGCTGTGCAAATAAAGCAGTGATATTTTGCAGACCATCATGGCCCTAGTCCTGAGCCACCACAATGTGATGAGCCAGTTGGGGCAGCTGGGAGCTCTGGTGTTTGTTTTGGCAGGTTTTAGAGAAAAGATGGGGTCATAGGGGTTATGTCCACAGAAGCCAACAGCAGTGTTTATTTTTACTCTGTTGTGTAAGCCTCACTTTGTACCTGTGTAACTTGGCTGAATATTGTGATGTAACACTGAAATAATGAAATGAGCTCAATGTTTGTTCTGGTTATCACCCGCCAACCTAGAACTTTCTTAAATCTCTCTCTTGAGAAATAAAAAACGGACTTAAGAGGAATTAAATAAAAACTGCAAATACTATAATCAGCAACCTAAAATATTTACTATATCAAAGCCAGATAACACATGAGTTTTTACAGGTCTCTGAGTGACTGCTGAATAATAAAGCATATGTTCTTACCTAATACTGCTTTCTATATGATTCTCATGCCTCTGACAATCCCACTTCCATGAATTTCCATTGATTTCTGTTTAATGTAGCTGTGACATGACTTAAACATGACCAGTCACAGTAAATATAATGAAGGAAGGTACTGTGGACTAGTTAGAAGGTCAAAAGACTAGAAGACTTGGGCTCTATTTTTGGCTTGTCTATTCATTTCTCTTATGATCTTAAGTGACAAGTGCTATCTTGGTCCCCTTCCCTTTTGTCTTGCCCTTAACAATTCTGCTAACAAGGCTTAACTGACTGGGTTCTCATGGTCTGGGATATTACTGCTCTATTACAGGTAAAGAGATCACATCTGGCCAGCGCTGCAACTGCTCAGTGACTCCCAGGTCAGCCTCTCATCCCCATCAGTGGGATGGGCAATATTTAGGGGCTCTGCTTTCTTCATGACACCATCACTTTGCCTTTGCCATCCCATCTCCCATCTTATGGTCTTACAGCATCTGCCTTAACTGTGGGCGCAATTGTCCAGTACACACTTGCTGTCCCTCTTTTTCTGGGGCGATACAAGAGAGAGGATGTGGAGGCTGGAAGCAAGGTCAGTGGTGGTGCCAGAACCAGCACCCAGACCCAGACATTTGTCCCAACTCTAAGTCCCTCTCTGCTCTCTTCTAATGAAATATCAAGTTCACATATACTGAAATTTCAAACACAAAGCCAAGCACCAATTTACAAACACTTCTGCAGTGGAGAGATTTCTGCTTCCAGAAACTCTTACATACCCCCACACGTTCATTTTAAAGAGGTTAAAACACCCAGCTATCGACCATCAAAAATAAACTCAGGTGATAAGTGAGCCAGGCTGCAACATCCCGCATTATATGCTCTCTGATCATCTGGACTGTTATGGTCAGATTGAGGAGAAAATAGTTTCTCTCTGTAGTTGTGTCAGGGCTGTGAAGCATGTTACACTGCACTCAGCAAATCTCCTGAGATCTCTGCTGGTGAGGGTCAGATGGGTCCCTCTCCCAGCTGCCTTAAAAACTCACAATGTGTGGGCAACCTGACATCAGTCCCAAGGCTTGCTGGCTTGAAGGCAACCATAGTTAAAACAGTAGCTGCCAGAAAGTTGGCCCAGTAACACAGCTGTGAGTACTGAGGGTGCTGGGGGTACCACCACTACTGCAGCTATGCCGAAGCAGCATTGCCTCTGCAGCTCTCCCTCTACGGTGCTGCTGGCTGTGGGACGGTGTGGAAACCCTTCACTGACACCAGGTATGGCTCGGGTGGGTCTTCTCTTCCTACTCAAATCCTCCAGCACTACCTGCATGGCAGTGGCTGAGAAGGAGGAGGGCCTGGATGAACCCCAGCACACTCTCTTTACCACAGCAGGATCCCTCGATTACCAGTTTATGCTGTACTTTTATTAAAGCTGTGTATTTATTTCATTTTTTTCAAGCTGTACAGTTTCTCCCCATCATCTGTTGGAGACCATTTTTCCCTCCTACGCTCAAGCTGTGCCATTCTGCTTCTGCAGCAAAAACAACCTCCTTTTTCTCCTCTTCTCTTCCCTAAGCATGGCTTTCTTTTCTCCCTACAGACACTTTTCCTCCACAATCCCACACAGGCTGTCAGAGCAGGGAATGAATAAAGGTTCATGCTGTGGTTTTGGGGTGGAAATGTGAGACCTTGAAACCTAAACTGTGCAAAGCCCTAAATCTTAAGCCACAGGGGCTGTTCCTGTCCTCAGCAAATGTAGTCTGTGTGTGACTTGGCAGCAGAAACACACTCAGACCAAAGCCCTGAAGCCGGACATCAGAGCTGTTATGAACTCCACTGCTTGTGGGAATGGTGAGGCCTTCACACTTTTTCCCAGGGCAAAAGCCTCGTCTACCTGTACTTAACAACAGAAATCCCACTGATTCCAGTGGATCTCAAGTCCCATCCTTTCTAGCACCCTTATCTTGGGATCCCTGGATTTTCTGGGCGCACACTACTCACATCTGTGACATTCACCACCCCGATCTGTGGTCTGAACAAGTCGATCTTGAAGGTCTTCTCCCAGTAAGTGATCAGCTGCAGGAGTGAGAAAAAAAAAAAATCAGGAAAAGATGATTGCAATGCCCCCTTGCACTAGTTTAATCAGCTGGGCTGTTGTGTGAGGGACATGCATTGACAAGTGCATGGGAGAGAAGAGAGATTGAACACAAGCTTGAGCTGCCACACCTGGCAAAGGAAAGTGCCAGCTCTGGGGATGTTCCCAAGATAACACCTTCATGGGAGGTGGACGCAGAAGACTCAAACAACAAGCTCTCAAGGGGATTGCCTGTGGTCCAGTTTCCTATCCTTCCCTGTACCAAATTCCCTGGGCAATTCCTGCACTTGTGTGTGCACATGCACACCCACCCTCACCCTCACCCCATTCACAAATTAAACCAAGAAAGGCAAGGAGCCTCTGCCACTCACCAGAGGAAAGTCATCAGGGTCAATCCAGACAATGCTCAGGTCAGGATTATCGGTGTTGTCCCTGGCAACCTGCTTCAGGATTTCCAGGAACTCAAAACCATCTGAAATTATACATGAAGGACTGTAACTCTCTCCTACAAACACACAGGCACTTTTTGCTTGTGGGGTTTCCAGCTTCCCTGGCTCCCCTATGCACACAGGAGTTGTTTATAGTTCTCATTAAAATGCTGTCTCCCAGCGCTTTATTTTGATAATAAAGCTTTTAATTTCAGGCATCCTCCACGGGTATTGAAATTAGTTACACATGAATTAAGTCTCATAATCCTGCCGAGGAGTGGAACAATGTCACTATTTTCTTGTGATGAGGGAGGAACTGAGCCCCCAGGAGGCCAAAACATTTCGACATGTTGATGGCTCTGAGAAGCATTGATGTCACTGCTTTTCAGCAGTTTGTGGCCTCTGGTTTCCCACATGCCTATCACACACACAGACCTAAGCACTTTCCCAGATTCACACAGCAAGATGGATGCAGAGTTAGGGAGAAAATTCTGGTGCTGGGTGGAGAGGATGATTTTTTTTTTCCCAGGCAGTCATCGATTTATATCCAAAATTTGAATGTCGGCTAGCATGCCTGCTAGCATAAACACCCAGAAGCATCCTGGCTCCCCATCCCATCAAGCTGGGGATCCCCATCCTGGCCAGGGTGCTGGGCTCCACTGTGCAAACAAAGCACAAGAAAATACACTTCCCTGAGGCATGGAAAGTTACACAAGGAAGAAAATAGCCTCTTACCTGGGTCATCTTCTTCAGCGAAGGCTACGATGTGGATACCCTCCATGTCATCCTCCTGGAAACAACAAAACCATTACTGATGGGCCAGAGAGAGAGGGCAGAGTCCAGGCAGTTGCTGGAGATTAGGAGCAGTGAGATGCCTTCAAACAAACAAGAAAATTGCAAATGGAAGCTAGACTGGAGCCCCACTGAGACATCAGAAATGGGAGCTGAGATGAGGCTGAGTCATGAAGGTATTCAGTTTTGAAGTGGGTAGTTCGGGTAGTGCTGAAACTCTTCTGTTAAGAATGATGCATGTGCACTATGATAGCAAAGGTGAGGGAGCTTCTGACATTGTGGGGCGAAAGTTTGTCTGCAGAGAAGGTCAAGGGCTCTCTAGCATGGAAATATAGGCTTCCCATTCGTGCCTGAGGCCACTTACCCTCCTCAATTTGCAGATCCCGGGGGATAGTTTACAGAGAAACAAGTATCTGCCACCATACTCAGTCACAGAACATGCTCCTCGGGGGCCAGCAAAGGAGGTTTTCTCACAATATAAGAGGCAAGGTGGCTCATTTGGGCCCCTTTTGGGAGGTGAAGGGTCTCTGCTTTAATTGAGGGTCTCTATGAGCAGTGAGAAGAATTGAGTAGGGGGCTCATTTCAGGGCTCCGATGAGTGGAGGACAGAAATGACAGCCTGCTAGGCTGCTTTTCTCCATGAGACACATGAGTAATGGGTAATGATATTGGCAAAGGCCAATGGATCTGCCGGCCGGTTCATCATCCGCCTGCTATGAATGTCATCTCTGAATTATCCCGTGGATCGGTTTCGCCTTCCTCACCCGCTGTCGGTCCTGGTTTCCATTTCAATTGGTTTTAATGCAAGAAAAAATTCCCATCTAAATGCTAATTTCTTTTCCCTTCTGAGCCCAGAGGTGACAAAGCCACCATCAAAAACTGAAAGGGAAAAAGCCCCTGAAAGATTAAGTGGAAAACATTATCTTTAAAAACAATAGTGGATGCCGAGCCTTTGTGGATGTCTTCAGGGAATACATTTTCACTGGGACATTCTAGGCAGATTTACTTGGAATTCAGATGACTTAGAGCTGGCAAAATCTACACTGTTAGTTTTTCTTCATATTTGCCAGCAGCATTGTCAGTCACCAAAATAAAAAGTATGTCTATATGCCATATATATTTATATGTATATGGCTACATAACATAGCTCTGTTCTGACCTCCAAGGCAGTAAACAAAACTGGACTAACTCCAGTGAAGGCATTGAGCATGTTGTCAACTTCCAGTGAGATCAGAACCCAGCTCTCTGTCTTCTGTAGGTACGAGTTCCCTGCTCGTAGTGGAGGCAAGCTCTGTATTCCCAGGCTGCTGGTAGAGAAACGTCGCACCGCTGTGAATTCACGCTTTTCCTGAGGCTAATTTAGAATATGTTCAGTTTGAAAGTGAAACCACTGCATGTGAAATTTGAGTCTCACTGAAGCTCCGTTAAAAACCTTGGAGGGGTTTCAGTGGATCTTGGGAGCTATATTCTATACAGAATCTGTGTTTCAAAACAAAATGAAAAGCTATCATGGCTAAGTGACTCATAACTCCTGATTCAGTTTTATTACCTCTTTCCTTCTTGTATTAAAGACTCCCAAGGTTTTTGCCACTTCGGAGTCTCGCAGCGCTTCATGTTACACAGCCAAGCAAGGGGACATCTGAATATGTTGTTATAAATGTGTCAAGCCTTTTGGAGGAATGACTGCATCTTCCTTAGTGTCTGTAAAGCACCTGTTCAGCTTTGTTTTTCAGTATTCATCTGGGACTTGAGGGTCCCTGACTAGCTTTTAACATCATATTCATTCACAGTGAAGGGATAATTTGTTATACACATTTTTTCTTACATTTTTCACTCTTTCCCTCTTCCCCAACCCTGCAGACCAGGAGAGTGATCTGTGTGTGATAGGGGCTAAATTGCTGGTTAGTTCTTTGCAGTTGCTGATTTGCAGCTTGCATACACCATGAGAAGTGCAATCAATGCATGATTGGCTTTGAAATCTATATAATTAACTGTACTGCCTTCTCTCACTTGCATTTTGAATTGTACAACTGCTCTGTTACTTTTACAAGGACTTGTGGCGACAGGATGAGGGGGAAAGAGGGTAGATTTAGATTTAGGAATTAGGATTTAATATTAGGAAGCAATTCTTTGCTGTGAGGGTTGTGAGACACTGGAACAGGTTGTCCAGAACATCTGTGTATGCCCCATCCCTGGAAGTGTTCAAGGCCAGCTTGGATGGGGCTTTGAGCAATCTAATCTGGTGGAAGATGTACCTGCCATGACAGGGGAATTGGAACTAGATGATCTTTAAGGTACCTTCCAACCCAAACCAATCTATGATTCTATGAATTTCCATGAGACATCTGTACAATCCCTGTAGCTCACCCACCCAGCAAGCAGGCCACTGAAATCTTCCCACTACCAGCACTGATATCCGTTAGCTGAGGTGGAGCATCCTGGGGCGGGATGTCTTCCACAGCTCTGTCATGGTCCCTACACAGGCCCCACACCTGCCTGGCAAACTGCTTAGCTTTCTCTCTTCCATCTGTGGAGCAAACAGGACCCGGCTCAGCTGTCCACCACTCTTGAGCAAAGAATTTGAGCACACTGTTTGAACTTGGGCACTAGGCATCACAGCCAGGGCCTCCCCTTCTTCCCAGAAGAGAGAAAGTAGCTTTGCGAGGAAGGAAAGTTGGTTTTGCCCAGCTAGGCACTGGAGCTGGGCAGCAGTTCCTTGTTGGAAGTTGGCAGGGTACACAAGGCTTCCCGCCCACATGTGCTTACCCACGTCTCAAACATGTCCTCTGGGCGCAGCTTCCTCAAGGTGGCCCTGAAAGGAAGATAGAAATGCTCTTTGAGGACATATCCAGCACTGTCACATGTGATGCTACCAGAAACACAGAAATTGTCACCATGGCACATTTCACTGTGGCTGGATCTGGATAAACCACATTTTGAATGTAAGCATGGGGACACTGTAGGTCAACTTATGCTTTTATTTATGGTGATAAAACCCTGTCCCTGGCCTCACTGGAGTCACTGCAACCACTACTCGTGGCTGGGAAGATGAGATGCCTCTCTGTACTGGGATGTGCTGGTGAATTAGTCTTACACATGGCAGATTGTTCCATCTGTGCTGAGAGCATGAGGTGACCCATTCACTTTTGTCTTTCTGTTCCTGGGACATTCCTAACAGGCTTTGTCTCCCTTTTCTCCTGGTTTTACTCCAGCATAATTTCAGCACAGAAATCCCTCCAACCACTGCTGAAGAAAATAAAACAGAATAACCTCTGTGAAGAGGACTTATATTCTAATAACCACTGACAAGAAAACTTAAACTCTAAAAGTAGTCAAAGCAAATTTTTTTGAGAAGTAGTTCATAAAGGACCAAAAAATTAAGAGTAAATATTTTCAGACACGTCTGTAGCAGGAAGCTTCTCAGACAGCCTGGCAAGCTGAGAGTTGACTGTGGTGTTAAGGGGGCACCCAAGGAACACAAGGCTGTAGCAGACAAGCACAAGTCATCCTTTGCACCTCTGCTTGCTATGACATCAGGTGTTCAGGAAGGATCCCCCAGAAGAGCAAATCTCTGTGGCTGACCTTCCCCAGGACCTGTTGCAAAGAGAAGTGTCAGTCTATGAGGTTTTAGAATAGATTGGTAAAGAGAGTTGCAGCATGTTGCCAGAACCAGGTGACATAAGTGAGATGTGTAACCTGTCACTTCAGTTTGCCCTGCTGTCAGAGCAGAGGCAACAAGAGCATTTTACAGACCTTCCTAAAGGACCTGAGCAGCCACAGATCTGGAAGTGTGACTCTGTTATGGGCACAATGCTACCAGCAAAGTCAGAGCTAACAGACCTCTGAAGGAATATAATGTGATTGCACAAGAGCCTTTAGGAGGAAAGCTGTGGCTATGGAGTTCCCAGAGCAAGTCAACGAGTGGGGAAAGGTATGCTGGGGAATGTACTGAATGGCCTTCAGAGACCCATTGGACAAGATCCCTTATTGAAGACTCTCTCTAAAGGGAAACTGAGCTGCAGGTAGATCAGAGGAGGAGATCCTCCTGTGCATTAATACCATTGAAGGGTGGAGGTGAATGTTCAGTTTTCATGACAAAGGGAATTAACCAACTAAGATTCATAGCATATTCTTTGGCATGATCACATGCATAACATATTCTCATATAGTCTGAAAAAGATGGGAAATAGGGAAGATGTCAGCATTTGCTTATCTATCCAGTTCTCTGATGACCAACAGAGGCCTAACTATGAGGTGATACAGAGGGATCTCTTGAGACATGAGTGTCTGCATGATAAACAACAATCACATAGCAAGTAACACACTTGCAGAAAAACAGTCCTGATTATACAGGTGCAACAGTGGGTTCTAAATTAGTTGTAATTAATTATTGCCTCTCAGGAAAGGGGACCAGTTGTAACAAATTGAGAAAGCATCAACTCCAAAGGAAAAAGGCAAAAAGAAGGTTACAAACAGATGGGAAATTACTAAGGAGAAGGACATATCATACCCTTACAGCAATGGAGAGCTACACTGTGCACCTCCACAGCGAATGTATGTGTAGTTCTGGTCATCCCATCACAGAAAGGACATGAACAACTGGAAAAGGCACGTGGAAACATAGCAGTGATGAATTGAGGTGTGGAACGACCTGTATTTCGTGAAGATTAAATAGGTAAGAATTCTTTATCTTGTAAAGGAGGTGACAGAAGAGAGATTTGGCAGAGTGTCTAAAAAATCGACAATGGTAAAAAAAGTGAATATCTTAGAGCATGGCACTAATAATGCCAAGGTCGTGGGTTTGATCCCTGTATATGCCATTCAATTAAGAATTTGACTCAGTGATCCTTGTGGGTTCCTTTCAACTCAGAATATTCTGCAATTTTCTCTCTAAAGATTACCTAAAGTATTAGTCATTGTTCCTCTTAACATAAGAGTTAGTAGGTGTCCAGAGAAATTATTAGGTAGCAGGTATAAACTCAACAAATAGGAATGGTCTTTTGATGCAAAGCATAATTCAGCTGCTGAACTCATTACAATTAGGTACTTTCAACATCAAAATAGAAATAAGGCAGAAACTACCATAGAAATTGAAGAAATAGCCATTAAGATATACAATTTTTGACCCAGCAAGTCCTCTCACTGTTGATAGTCCAAACCTAGAGGTTATATCAGGTGAATGCATATTACGTATTTAGGCATATGTGTAGCTGGCTTTCAAGACACTTACCCTAAGCTGTTCTCTGGGAGAAGAGCTTGGAGAAAGGAAACTCAGTGGAAAGGATTTGATCACACCCACATGTACTGATTGCTGTGTTGTTGCTCAGGATACTTCTCTATGCTGGAAGGAGTGAGGTAACTGGGATTTTGTAAAGTAAGAGGGAGCAGAATTCAGCCCCCCATGTCGCTACACCACAATTGCAGAGAACTGGGAGTCCAACACCAGCATTTTGCATGTGAAACAGGTATAAAACCAGAGGCCTCTTGCAAGTAGAGGAGCTACCATGTAATTTGATTTTGTGCAACTGGGAGCAAAATCTGGGCTGAGACCTTGTAGTCACAGTGCCTGTCACCATGCCCAGATGGACACCCATCTGCTGGGCAGCCTTGGACGAGTCACCCCCCCACACTGAACACTGACTTCCTGACCTGCTCAGGAGAGGATGAACTTTCCCACCACAGGCTGCAGCTGCCTGGAGAAGCCTCATCTGGGAGGCTGTGTGTGGATTTCTCCTGGGCATCTGCTTCAGATCCTGTCTTGAGGCTGCAATGGAAGCTCAGCAAATCCCAGTTTCTGGAGGAAGTGGTAGTGAAGCCTGCCTGGGCACAGCAGTGGGGAGCCGTTTTTGGAAGGGCTGTTTAAGGCATGACAAAGAGCCTGGATACTGCCGATCAGTAATAGGTTTCCCCATTGATGTGGCATGGCTCCTTTAGTGGGATGGAGAGGTGGCAGTGGGGCGTTGCACCTTGGAAGAGGGTTAGTCCATGCCTGTGAAGTGAGAAAGTCTGCTGTGTGAGGGGGAGGAGGCCAGTGGTCCCCTATTCCTTCCTGCAGAGAATACTCTGCCAAATTGCCTACAGGGCACCAGCACGTGGTAGCTGCTGAGGTTGCTTAATTTTAGTCTACAGGTCTGATCATCTCCATGTCTCACTAATTCCCACCTGTGGCTTTAGGTGCTTTAGGTGCTACTGGTGGCGAGGCAGGAAGAAGTACTTCTGCTCTGAGAGGCTCAGCATTAACTGCTAGGAACATATCACTGTCACCCCAGAGTTCCTCCCCTGCCATGGCAGCCCCTTGGCGGGTTTGGGATTTCAGGCATTCAATTTTACAAGACTCCTTTTAATTCTCTTCTGAGCCTTGGCACTTGCAAAATACATGGCCCAGCCCCTTGATCCTACCAAGCACCACATAGCATCTTGAAATATGTAAGACTTGGGGGCATTCCACTGCAATTTTCTGCTGGTGGAGAGCTTGCCTTATTAGGCTAGCATTTAGCTGACTGTGCTTAATCAGCCTCCTGATGCTTCTGTTTGACAGAAAGAGCTTGGAAAAAAAAGATGAGAAGGACTGAGGTCAAGAAGTCCCAGAGGTCAGCAAAATGAATTGCAAGTGCACGGGAGATAGAGGAGCCTTTCATATTTCAGAAAAAGCAGAGATCTGTTTCCAAGTCTGGTGAGCTGTGGATTCCAAAGATGATCTTCTGTCTCTAAACTCCCTGTGGGTGAACACAAACCTGCAGCTGAGACCAATTTGAGATCCCCCCTCTATATCAATGGCCCTGCTTTCCTCAAACTCTGACCTGGTCCCTTGAATGTCTGCTGGGAAATGCAGTTGCAGGAGCAGCAGGTTAACTGTGCTGTTATCCTACACGGTGTTTTTAGGGGTGTAAAAATACAGCACCTCATAGATAGTTGTGCCCGTATATTTAACCTCGCCTTTTACACGGGATCAGCCTCTCTGATGACTTCCAAAACATTGGTAGCTGAGTCCCTGAGCAACTGTGCAATAAACCTGATTGCAAAAAGCACGGAGCCTCCACAGCTCCTGCTGGGTTGATCAAATGCTGTAGCTGCTCAGCACCACTGTCACATGAGGCTCAACACAGCCATGACAGCAGTGGCAGCCTCTCTGTGCCCTTTGTCAGCAGGAGTCCCTTAGTCCATCGCAGTTCCTCCAAGCTTGGTCTAAGCTAAGAGCCTGCCTCCAAGTACATCTGACATTAGGAGAGGAATATAGCCATTAGTGACGCTGTTTTGGAGAAGGATGGGACTGGACAGATTTGGATTTGACTTGAGAGGCCTTGGAGAAGATTATCTTCTATACAGACCTAAATTAAAAGCATGGGCAAGTAGGGCAAGGTTTCCACTCTCCACTCAAGCATCCCAGCTTTTTTTTAAGGAGGACTAACTAGGGAGGAGGAGAAGGCTGTGTTGTCACAGCCCCATTGTAGTGGGCTCTGATTGCTGTACAGATACTTGCACCTCTGGGAGTAGCAAAAAAACAACCACAATCTCAAACCTGGGTCAGCAAATCATAAAAAAGGTGGTCATCATGCTAATTTTTTTCTGAGAGAGTTGCCCTGGAGAGGCAAGGTTGCGATGACAGACACCTTTACCCATTTTCCTTGTTCAGGAGCATCCTGTACACTGCATACCTTCTGTGCTCTTTCACAAATTCAACCAGCTCCTCTTCTGTGTAAGGCTTATCAGGGATGTGAACAGGCTCATCCATAAATGGTTCATAGAAGTCCACCTCATTCATCTTCAGACCTAGCTTCTTGGCAACCTGTGACAGTGCAGATAGTCAGAGATGAGGGAGACTGATGTGCCTTTTTGCCTACCCAGAGTCTCTCCTAGTGCCAGAGCTGAGGTCAAGGTGCTTCTTCTCCCTCAGAGTGTGCACTCCTAGGGGTAGCCCACAAAACAGAATGGATCTTTCCTTGGTTAAAAACCCACTGATGCTCTCCCCGCTACTGGTGTCAAGCACTGGAGTAGAGCAAAGCCAGAGTCAAGGTCCCACAGACCTAGTGGAGCTGGTTTCCAAACCCACATCAGGACCTCCCTCCATGTTGCAGAAATGGCCTTTTATCTTGTGACAGAGCCAAATCCCAACGTGGACACTGATACCGCAAAATACAGGAACACTGAGAATGAGAAGCTGGAGCCAGATAATAAATCTGGGAACATCCTGAGCTCTCAGAAAACAGGTGGTGGCATCTGTGAGCTCTCATTTAGGTCTGTGGGTGCTTACCCCTTTGTCAAAAGTAGCAAAGAACTTGATGTACGGCTGGAATTGTTCGGCAGCTTCTTCAAATGCCTTGAAATCTGGAAGGAGAAAAGGGGAATGAAGAAGATGTTTCACAGACAGCTGACCACACTTTGATCAGCACAGAAGGCACCAGGGAAGAACAAATGTAAATTATTGCAAATTCCCATAGATGACAGCCCTATGCTTCTCCCACCCTTCCAGCGTTTACACAGAAGGACCATTTCAAGTGGAGCAACACGCTGCGCAGCTCCACAGTGCTCAGGAAAACTGCAGATCCCAGCATGCCACACTTAACTGTGGCTGAAAGCAGCAGCCCTGTGAAGCAGGTCCAGTGGTAGTTCAGCCTGGGAAATACATGGAATTGCTCCAGCATTAGTGATTGCTGCCATTCCCTAAGCAGTCACCAAGCATTATTAGGCACGCTTCTCCTGCTGCAGGAGGAGGGGAAACAAAGTGCAGGAACAAGGTATGTTTTAACTGTTACTGCTAAGAGCACAGTGCTGGGTTCCAGCCTGGCAGGAGATTTTTACAACAGGCTTTTCTCCTCACTTCTCTTCAAAATACTTATTACTGAAGTTCCTTACCCAGTGTAACTGTAACCTCAGATGATTTTGGGTGAGGTAAACTTACTTTACTTCAGGAGCCCTGGATTATGGCATTCTTCTCTTACCAGCAGATACCTTGCAGAAGGGTCACGGCTGTTGGTGTAGGAATGGGCTCATGCGTAACACCAGCAGAAACTTGTCTGCAACCCCACCTCATCCTCCATCAATGTTCACACTGTCACACCCTGCCATATACTCCTAACATCCTTAATGTTCATGCAGAACAAACAGTGCCCAGCCCCCTGAGCCCCCAACCAGGCTCTAAGCCCCACAGGAACATATTCGTCTTACGTTCAGAGTCTTCTCCTTTGAAGTAGCCGATGAGTTTGATTTCATCATCAATCTGGTCAAAGGCCTGAAGCTCCAGCTTGCTGTTTATGATCTCCACAGGGTCTTCTAGCAACTGCCATGACAAATGCATGTGATAACGCAGCAATTTGCAGCACCAACCTATGCCTGTCAGGCTGCACAAGCAGCCTCAGTGAGGAGAAAGGGGTCACCCAATTTCTTCACTGTTGGAAACTCTAATTAGTGCTCTCTGCCTTAATGTGAGGAACCAAGAGATGCAGGTCACCTTCAAAGGGAGATGTTAGTATGTTCCCTGCATAGGTGAAAGCGTCCAGAGGGAGGCTGATAGAGGACAGGGTAACCCAAATGGATGCTGAGGGACCTGCTGTGATGAGAGATGAGGGGCAGCAATTGCAGCTGGCTTTAGGGAGGATGAGAACAAGGAAGAGCAATTGAAAGGAGCTGGTATGAACACTATGAGCTTCTATAAGTGATACATACATACTTATATCTATATATACTTGTTTTCAAGTGTCATTTGGTGGAAGAGTTCATTGCAAAGAACTTGCTTTTGAAAAACATTAAAACCAGCTCACTGGAGGGTGGCCAAACAGAGGTTTGGAACAGTGGAAAGTCTGGATGTGAATTTTCCTGGCTGCTCCTCCGATGAAGAATGGTTTAAACACAGGCTTTGGCCCCACACACATCACAGTGTTGATGAGGAATTTGGAAGACCTATCTGGCACTTTAGCCTTCCATTGATTCAAACTTTGTCTCTGTTTTCTTAACTAGTCACTGCTGGTGAAAAGATTCAGCACTGACTATTTTGCCCAATAATACTGGTGTAAATCAGGTGTGTTTGCACTAGATGGAAAGAAAAACAGGCAGGCCACTGTACAGCCTACAGAGGAGGAGAGAACCTCTGGGTTTCTTTTTCATTTCAGATCAGGCTGCTGAGGGACCATGTGCTTGGTTTTATTTCCCTGCTTTACCTGCTATTACCCTGCCAGGTATTTTCTCTCTTGAGTGAAAAATGCCCAAACAGAAATCCTTGGTCTCTTCTTTTTCACAAAACATGATTTTTCAGTGTCACACCACAAGGCATAGCAAGCAAAACCTCATCAAGCACCTTACACTGCACTCCCTTTGAGCAATGCTCTGACATGAGGCTGTGCCTCTGCTACCCCCACAGCAGTATGTGCAGTTTCTTGCTGCCATAGTGGCCTGAGCCATGGGAACCAGGGATCCCACTGTTGTGGGGTCATGGCAAAGCCTTGCCCTCCTGAGTGGGGCAGATGCCCATTTCTGTCCCTGAATCCACTAGCATGTGTTTTGGACAAAGCACCTGATGCACACAGCCACAGACATTGTCACAGGAGAGCTGAGGTTCTACGTATCTGTTTCTCTTCCCTGGCCATGCTTCTCCTCACCAGCAGCCCTGCACCACAGGTGACCATGTAGGCAACCTGCAGCCCTGGGAAACAAACACTGCCAGCTCCACTGCTTCCCTTACCTCCCTTATCTGCATTACTGCATGGCTGCGTTTAAAGGAGTCTCATTTCAAAGGAAAGCCAAACCACCACAAAAAGTTTTCATTACAAAGCAAAGACCATGGTTTTGGACTGTTGCCTCTGCTAAGAATAAAATGTAAAAAAAGAGAAGTGCAACAGATTGATGGGGATTCAGCACCTCTTTTGCATTTAAGCACAAAGGCAAGTACATCATTGTGACAGTGCACAGAATGACCCAAGGGCACTTAGTCCTAGAGTCTTGACCTTCTTTCACTCGTGGCAGTGCAATTTGGGAAGTTGCCTGAAGAGACATGATGTTGTATGTGTCTAGAAATGGGAAAATAGTTTGCAGCATAAGGCTTTTTCAATGCACTAAGCTCTTTTTAGTTGTTCTATAAGAATCCTACTTCTTGGATATTCTTTTTTTGAAAATCACTTTTCTTTAAAAAAAATAGTGTGGAAGACTTTGCAAATGGCAAAGTGTTTGCACACCAACTTGCTAACTGAGGTGGGTGATCAGCAGTCAGTTATGTGGGATTGTTGCTGACTTCCATTCAAATACTCCATAAACAAGAAAGAGGGCATAATGTCTGCAAGATATAAGAGGCTGGTAGCACATAAAGATACTAGCTTCCCTGTGAACTCGTGGTCAGACAAGTACTGGGGAAAACGGCAAATGCCATCTCTATCAGTGAGTAGCAAACAGATGGCATTTCAAATAGATACATTTGTGTTTTTTAGCAAACTCAGTATTTGCAAGGTCTTCTCTGAGAGGCTTTATCTAGCTCTGAGCTTATCTGTGCTTACATCCAAGAGGAATTCCACCAAGACATCTGTGGCCAGTTCCCCATCAAATTCGATCAACCGCTCATCCTTGAAGACATAGAGACTTCCCTCTTCAATCAAGCCTGAAAGAAGGAGACAGGAAACATAATGTGGTTAACATGTCACTAAAAGCATTTTTACTGTAGAGTACCTTGCTTGTTATTCCAGCAGTGCTGTCTGGGAAAATGCAATTGCCAGTTCACTGTGTTGGTCTACTTAGAAACAACCTGGGCAATCTCCTGACTGATGGAACAGGAACAGACGTCAGCCAGAACTGCGGCTAACTTCTTTCCAAATGTTGAGCTTTTCATTCAGGTCACAGTTTGGCCTCCTCTGGAAAAATTCTGTACCAGGAACTTGTTTTATCTTGGCTATCTATCTTATAGTAAATACTGGGCTCTAACTGACAGCTCAGATTTTAACAGCCTGTCACTATGGAACGGATTTTCTTGAGGTTTGTGCTCACTGTCTGGAGAAGGCTGGACTATATGAACATCAACAGTGATCTGAAAGTGAGCTTCAAACTGTCTGAGGTTTATCTGGCCTTGGCAAAAGGGTTAGAAACCAATGGGAGAGATACCACAGACAGCAGGGGCCCATGTGAATGCAGTATCACTGCACTGAGGATGGAGTGCCACTGCACTTCATTGGAGGCTCCAAAATCAGCAGCATTGTCCTCCTGTAATGCAGGACAGTAGGGTACCACAGGCCAAGGTGGTTGGTAGTTTGTTCCTTCTTAGAGGAGCAGAAGCTCTTATCTTTAGTTGAGCTCCCACTGCCACACACAGCCTCTAATTTAGGCTGCGGCTCCCCCTTTTGTTGACAGAGGTCACCCTGCCATGGGACTGGTGACATTTGGGGACCTGTGTTATTTCCCTGTGTGTTCTGGTTCTGCATCACTGTGTCAGTCATGTCTCTGTGTAGGAAGAGCATGAAGTTACTCCATAGCATCTTTTTTACTGTTCATGCACAGTGAGCTGTGAGCTTATATCTTGTCATCATTACAACATGAGTTGCCTTTCTCTTTCACTTGATTCAGTTTGGTTTTGGTACAGGAAGGTTTTTACTGAAAGGGTCTTTCTGGGTTCATCCCTCTCACCTGCACTCCCCCCACTCCACTTGATCGTGCCCTTGGTGAGGTGGGCAGGTGGTCAGTGTGCAAGTGCCATCAACATCCTCCCCATCCTGGTAACAAGGATTTGGCTGCCCTCTATGGGGCTGCCTGTTGGACATCAGTCCCACGCTCTCTCCAAGCTATTCCAGAAATATCAGACATGAGACTCACCTAATTTTTTGGCAAGTTTGGCATCCTTCTTGGAGTCCACCATCCCAAAACCGATGCTTCTGGGCTCCAGGACCTGAGCTGCCAGCTGTGGGAGGAACCAGAGAGCCCAACATTAGCAGCATTGACACCACAGGGTAGCTAAAGGGCATCGTGCCCCGCTAGCATGGCATGACAGACACAAGTGACCCATATTCTGCTTTTGAACAGCACCAGTGAGTGGGATGTGTCACATGCTGCCTCTCTGCTGAGATAACCAGAGGTCACAAGGGTTGGGTTTCTTCCCATTGTGTTGCAGCAGGGATTTGCTGGCACTGCCACATGCTGCTCACAGCTGTTTGAGACTGGCATTGGGAGAGGGCTCCTGATTGAACCAGGGACACTAAAGCAGTGGGCATGGCTGGAAGAAAGACCTGTATTATTGACACAAAGCAAAAACTGTTTCCTCCTTGGTGCTTTGGTGGCCTCCTTCAGGGGAGTGCAATGTGTGGGCACTACCAACATTTTAACTCTTGAAGTGCAGGTTGCCAGGCAGCAGTGGATGCAAACTGGATGGGATGCAGGATAGTGCAGCATCATGTTTCTTTTATGCATGCAATGGGATGGCCAAAGCAGGCTTGCTTTCCTATGAAATAATTGAAGTTATGTCTCCTGTCCAGGATTCAGTAACACCCCACATCCTGGGCCCCTCTTTTAGCTAAAGAAACGCATCTAGTCCCAGTCATGCTGGTGTTCACCTCTCACAGCTTCTCAAAACCACTGCCCCCTGTTCCCACCATTTTTGACGAAGGGGCCTCTTGAAGATATCGAGTTCCTGCCTGTTTTGTGAAAATAGATATGTGAGGAAAGGAGAGAAGCTCTGCAAGGGCCCCATGGTGGGAGCAGCCCCGGGTGAGACCCTGTGAATTCCAGATAGGCTCCTAGAGATGCACTGACCCTGGAAAATGGGTCCACTTACGCACCAGGTGACTGACAGCCCCACTGCAAGCAGGCTACAGACCATACAAGGCGATAATGATGCTCTGAGATCAGCAAGCAGCTGTAAGAGCTTCTTCCTCCTCCCTCTCCCTTCCTGCTCTATGAACGCCTCTGATGCTGATGGTCTTCTTGCTGTTCCTTCTCCCAACCCCACCAGATGGTGGGGGATGATGGAGATGAGGGGTCAGGGGCCTCTGGGATAAGAATGTCCTTATTAGGGCACAGCTGCCAGTGCTTGGCGGCAGGAGAGGGGCAGAAGAAAAGCCATGGCCAGAGAGATAGAGGGCTGATTTATGAGGAAGGCCCCCTGCCCGACCCATTTCAGTGCCCTCCTCCAGACTCAAAGCCAGTTTGAATGTCACCCAGCAGCGCTGCCACTGCAGCCGTGCAGCCCCTTGGCTCCCTTGCTATAAATAGCTTCTGTCTGTGCCCGGCCACTGCGGGAGTGAGCAGCAATTAAAGGCGTCGGGAGTCAAAAGGGGTGGGGCAGCTAAAGGGGTGGGGCAGCTACTTCGCCTGTGCAGTGGGATGTCATGGGGCCAGCCAGCTCCCTGTGCCGTCAGCACCCAGCCTGTCCCTGAAATTCTGGAGGATAGTGGCAGATACCCTGGTGATCAGGGCTCAGGGACCTTGTTTGAGCAAAGGGGAGTGATGAAGAATGTGATTGTTTCCTCCCTTCCAACAAATACGCACCCCCAGGCCTGTCCCAAAGCTCTCCAGGAGGACATAGTGTCCACCAACCCCCACAGCATCGCTGCAGCCTTGATCCCCCTGCAGCTGCCTGCCCTCTTGTCCTTAGGGGGACGCCATGTGAAGCAAAAGGGGTGCTTCTGTTACACAAGCAACAGGCATCTCAATGCTCTTTACTTGCTCTTTACCAGTGCTTTAAAACAAGGGTAAGGCTTCATGTTCAGGGCTTGTGCGATGGACATTGCCTGAATGGGGCAGAGCACTGATTTGTGTTTGCACATTCATTGATGAGGCGTATGAGCACTGGTTTGACTGGTCTGGCATCCCATTTCCTGGCTCAGGCCACGGCTGTACATCTCAGAGCCCTGAGAGCAGCTGGTACCCATACTGCAGTGAGAGATGGAAACCTCTTGTGAGCTCTCTAGACATCTCCAAGCGAGCAGTGGTGAGAGAAGATTCCCCATTATGGGGATCTGTCTTTTCTGGACAAAGGGATGGAGCCTGTAGGATCATCAACTTTCTGGGACGTTGTCAGCATGCTTGTTGGCAGTTGTGCATATTCGGCAAGAGATTTCTCAGAGTCAACGCTTGAAGCTCTGGCTGCTCTGTGGCCAGAGGTAAAACACAGAAAGCCCAAGGGAAGAAGACTTGTTCAGTCATGTCCACTCCAGTTAATACTTAATCTAGCTACTTAGAGTTATGTCAGCCATGTGCCAGACAAAGTCAGGGTAGTTTAAGCCCAATAGTTCTTAACTCCTGCACACAGGAGGTGGTTAGGATTTCTTGTGGGTGTTTGAAGAAGGTCAAAAATGTGCAGAAAAGCTGCAACACCTGCTACAGACAAGTGGTTGGGTTGATTGCAGGAGAGGAGGCGTTAATCAGAACTCATGTATGTCAGTATGTAGCTCACACAAGGTAGGTCTTTGGATAGGTGTGGGCGTAGCCATGTAGCTGTGAGCATGGGATCTTGCTGGGAAAGAGTGAATGTGTCAAGAAAACATGGGTGATGTGATGAAAGCCTCTTCGTATGAGATTGTGAGAGTGCTCAGTAGCCAGAAATGGCCACAGTAATTCTGGAGGTGTTCCCGTTGGTGTGGCAGGGCTTTGTGTGACTGTGTCTAGCAAGACTGTCTCTTGGAGGTGTGTGTGTTGTGGATATGAATGTTTAGAGATGTCTCTCTGAAGAGGCTCATCCTGAGAGAAGATGTGCAACAATGTGTGTATACAGGAGCATGAATGTGTACAGGGGGTGTGTGCCTGGGGGTTATGTTCGCATGAGGCGACAGAGCTGGGAGCCAAGCAGGCACCCTGGCTCCTCTGCTCAGACCTTCATGCGAATGAAACAATGAGGAGAGCAGTACAGTCTGTGCTCATCCTCAGAGCAGTGTGTCACAACAGGGAACTCTTTGTGTAACATGAGACTCTCTTTAGCTCTTTCTACTCTGGTAGTGCCTGGGGTCAGGAGACCTTTGCAGGGTGTCAGTACCTACACGGTGGCTTTTGAAAGTGCAAGCTATGCAGGGCCTTGCTTTCCCTGCTTTCCACTGAAGCAGGTGAGTCTGACCAGTGCATAGGTGAAGATATGTTCCCACACCTATACTTCAACCCCATAAGGCAGCAAAACATGGAGTATGCCAGAGGCACAGTAGTTTGGCTAGTTGCTCCCTACTCATTACAGTATCAAGCATTTATATATCCCCTTACAGTATTTTCTGATTCCATAATGCTAGTGGGATTTGAATGCAGATAATGTTTCTAATCTTGACAATCCTCTTGGCTCGGGACCTTGGGTCAGAGGCAACTGTAATCTAAGAACACAGCCCCTCCTCCTCCCACTCCTCCTCCTCATGCCTTTAAAATTGTACTGCTTGAAGTCTTGGCTAGCCAGAGGCCTTGCCTTTGTGTCAGCTTCTATAGTGAGTAGTTTAGCTTCAACAACTGCACAGGGAGATGGAGAGTAGAAACTGCCCTGCAAGAAGTGGACCTTACTGATCATGCAATCCATGGGACAGAGCAGGAGCTTTGGGCAAGCAGAGTTGGCTGAGAGGATGAGCAAAGAGCCCAGTATCTTGTAGGCTCACATCTCATGCACATTTTACAGCCTTCCTCTCATGTGCATGAAGTCTTTGCCATGCATACTTTCTAACCACAGGATCACAAGCTGTGTCCTGTGCAGCCTTGGGAAAAGAGGTGTGAATTTGGGAGCATACCTCCTTTCTCCCACATCCCTCAGGTAAGAGGCATACTTGAATTTACATAAGCATGAGGGAGTGCACCACCCTCTGGGACGTGCAAGAGGTGCCAGCCCAAAGTGAAGCTTGAGTACCACCAAGTAAACAAGAACCACCTCATCTTGTATGGTGTCAGCAGTAACAGGCACTCTGAATAATGGGTGTGGAGAGACACAACTCCCTGCCGAACATCTCAGCTTCACACCCACTGTACCTATCTGAACTCAGGTGTGACGCTGGGAAGCTTTTGAGATTTAAGAAGATGCACAGGGTCATTCTGAAATCCTAGGTTGTACAGCAGCAGATATGTCATTGTCTGCCTGACCATGCTACTATTGCAGCTACAGACAACACTGATTGTGCCAAACCTTGAATTTAGAGTCAATTTTGCTGCTAAATGGCAGATAAAACCCAGCAGAGAGGGTTTACAAATGGGGATGGGAGGAGTGGCTGTCTCAGCATGGTCAGTTTTCTTTATGAAGTGGCATTCTGATATTCTGGCCTGGATTTTCTTCCCACTTCTCTAGCACCTGTCTGGAGCTCCCACAGACAGTAAGGCTCAACTTTCTTAGCTGCTCAGGCTGGGAGACAGGTGTCTGAGGCATGTGGGTGTCAGAAAGGCAAGATAAATAAACTTCTCTTAAGCACGGGGAGCTTTCTGTTTCCCTATCTAGGAGTGGAAGAAGAATAAAACTCTAGCAATGTGAGATGAGCAACAGGAGATGATGAGGAAATGTTCCACAAGCGATCTACACTTCTCTGCTACTCTTTTTAAAGCTGCAGTTGATGTTGATGGTCAGAAACTGATTGATGAAATGATGATGATTTTATATCCCAAAATGTTGGGGTTTTATTTTCAGAAACAGTAGGAGGAGATGGCAAGTGTCTAGGGTATTTCCCCTGAAGTTTTGAATCTTATGCAGGACTCATGCCTTCAATGCTATAGTTGGCTTCTCTGGTTTTTAAGCCAGTGGACAGTTTCCTGGAGAGCAGAGGGGGTTATTTCTCCTTCCTAATGCTGTGCTGTCTCCTCTAGCATTCCCTTGCATAACACACTAGTAATGTTTCAGGTTCTTCCATAATTCAGGCTGGTAAATTAGAAGTCCTGAAGTATCGTGATGATCAAAGAGCAGGGCCAGAAGCCTGATAAGCAGTTGCCATTAGAGAAGTCAATCTGCTGGCAGTGAGG